ATCTGTCTATTTACACACTGGAAACGTGTTGTATCTCGACTTATTTCGAGTCTGACGATTACCACACATATGTGAATGTCGCTACTATTGTGTCGTTAGCCGATTGAATGTTGTTGTTAATGTGATGAGCGGTCTCGACACGTTCCACATTCGGATTACTGTAACGGGATGGATTGTAAAATGTCCCCGTCAGCATGTTGGGCGGATCCTGTTTGTCGATTGTGTTGTGTTGGAAGTGGCCAGCAAAATACGTGGCATTCTCATCTGCTCAATTAGACTCTGGCACTACCAGCTTCTGTTCAGCAGTAGTAGCTGTGTACCTGTTTATCGTCGAATCGTCTACTTATTGTTTACGCTTTTAAAAAATTCTCACTAGAAGGCGTCAAAAATAAATTACTGGATAAATTAACGGCTTCCTTCTTTAATTTTCTAGCCTTTATGTATATATACATATAACGCAGTGCTCGGGGGCGCCCTGCAACACTCACGTGGAATCGATCTCTGCGCCCATGGCCCACCAAGCTTTCCATACCTCCTGGATCTGCAAATTCGTACCAGACTTGTCTGGGAGGATAGCAGCACTGGCTCGATATATCGGTGGGCCACAGCGAGTCATCGTAAAAGCCAGATATGCATTCTGTCACCTCCGAACGATGCTTAATGAAGTTGGATTCATAGCGCATCCCTCAGGGATTGATTACACTTAGATTAATGGAATGATGGCTACTTAGTCATTCACTTACATACTTTGACTCGACTTTTTCTATTTTAACAACTCTTACTTTAATTACTGTGCTTTCACGGCAGTGAAAATGTGTTAACTCTTACCTGAGAAAATTTACAGTTTCGTTCTTCGGACATGATCATATCGTAGTCAATACATTACTGTTAATTTACCGACATTATGGATACAAACATGATTTCGACCAGCTTAAGTGCTTTTGTGAGCCAGCCACTAGAAGAAATCTATTGCTTCGCCCTATTCCTAGCGGATCTGCTAGGCAAAACAAATTCGCCATTCCTAAATTCATGCACGGTTTTGATTAACGGGAAAACTAAGCAAGGAGAAAAGAGTATTATTTAGATCGCTCAGTGAAAGAAAAGAGAAGATTCGAGCACAATTAATCCATAGAGCAATCGGTCAAAACTGGAGAACAAAAAGTCGTTGTCAATAATCGGTTGGCCAGTCGACATACCTAAGTTCTTTCTCTTTTAGTAGTTGTGTGAATTCGCAGTCTTCTCGAACCTTTGCATTAATCCATCTTGCAAATCTTTATCCCTCTAATGTGCTCTTTATCTTAACGAAGTTTATTCACGCTTCGTCTCTTCTGTATGAACAAAGTTATAAACTTCAGTTACTAATGGAGTCGGGAGTTTGCCGCATACCACCGTTTCCGCTACTCTGGAATCCTCTGCTTCTCCCATACTCGACAGCATTGATAATAAAACTCCAGGTGTGAAAAAGCTTTGTTTAACTTTTTTTTAATTTTCTAGTTCTATTTTAATACTAAAATCTTCCGTTTCGTCTTTCATTCGTTTCGTTCTCCTTCAACCATCACCCAGTGGACGGATTCGTGTGTATGTTTAACTGATACTAATGATATTTCATCTCTCCACACAAGGGTGCTTACGTGTCTAGGTTCTAACTACAGATAGACCCTTTTTCTATGCAAAGGATGCGTGGTGCCTTGTAACGTGGTTTCGTTCAAGGTAGCAGCAGTTCCTGCAACTAGTCGACCCCTTTTATTTACATTGTTTTCATAGTTTTTGATCCGTTGACATTAGCTGATGACTATTTATAAGATATGTTGTCGTTCTTGTCTTACCAAAGACTAGCAAGAGTTAAAAATTTATTTGTCAACCAGTGAAAACCAATCAGATTGATGCGAGGAGCGATGAACTTGGTCTCGTTTAGCTTGACAGCTTCATTATTGAGGTCTGTATTTACACCAACCATTTACATTTTTTTCACTACCAAAACAACCTTTTATGAACCAACAATAAATCATAGGTTTCTAGATAACTAAGCCGTGACCGAGCATAGGCAGTGTGCTTGTGCCTACCGACCCCACTGTTGGTTAACACGCCTACATACACTAGTTCACCTGGCATGCGTATATGGCCCCTTCGAAAGTGTCGTTTTGAGAGACGAAATAGTCCCTTTGCGTGCCTCCATTTTTGAAGCCCGTGAATGCTACACAGTTTCACAAGGCCTTAAAAAATAGCAACAGTTATGCCTCAGTAATTCGAGATCTGATATTTTTCGATACGAGCTAAGACACTATATATTGCCGTACTATTTCAATGATAAACCAACACGAGGCTGATGAAAAACCTTATTCGGATAATGGTTCTGAGCCTTTGCCTTCTTCTGAGCCGGTCTGACTGAAATCGGTTGTCTACAGTGGGTCCTGCTCGCGATATGGGTGTTCGTTGTCGCATCTGGTCGAGTCGCGTGGTCCTTAATCATTGAAGTCAACTACCACTACTTGTAGAGGTCAACTACTTGTGCAGAGGATAAAGGAAAGTCAATAGTGTTATCGATATCACGTTATGGATCTTCTCAGTATCACCGATTCTAATCGTATTTGACAACATTCGCCAATAAAATGCACTAATATTCGTAAACCGTCGATCATTCTGTATAAACGGTCTCGACCAATTGAGGTTATCCCATTTGAGTGGTACTTCACTCCAGAAGATTCGACTCAATGCGACTACGAAAACCAGCGCCGTAAGGACGACTGGCTGTGGACAATCGACTCGGATCATTAGCTCCGAAGGAGTCGAAGACGTCGAGACATTAGCTTAATAAAAGTTATTATATAACAAACTTGTGTGAGGCAAAATGGTTAGTACCGAGGTTAGATGAAAATCGGTTTTCAACGAAATGTTGTCATACCATCGGTTGTCATTCATTACGTGTCCGGCCCACCATGCTTAATTAGTTGATAGTATCGTAGGTGGCGTAGTCACCCCGATTTGTATCTAATGGAAGCATAGATAACGTAACTCTTAAGCAAGTGCTTACAATATCGGTTAAGCATTATAAGATTCGTTGTTTTTCTTCAACAAGCAGATGCGAGTATAAGTACTGAAGAAAAACAGCGAATTTTCAATCACTGCCGAGGTTAATAGAAAGCCGCTGTTAGGAATTATTATAAGATTCTCAACGACTTCACATTTCTAAAAAAGTATTTCACTCATAATTGTACAAGGAGGTCCGCAGCACTTATTACATTGTTAACAAATTTCTATAATGCTGAGATATTTGCAAAACTCCGGACCGCAGGTGTCTGCGGTGGGGAACGAACGCGCTATTGTTCCTTTTCGGAGAGTAACGCGTTCACCACCACACCATGCGAATCTCTCGTTTCGCCTGTCTCTCAGCTAGTTCTATCGACTGCTCCCATCGGCAATCACCCGTGAATGGGATTGAGCTGGGGAGCCAACATCGGCATTGAAGCCAGTTAAACTGAGGCTATAGTTATAATCACAGTTTTAACCTTTTTTTATTTAATGCCTATTCTTTTCAACGGCAGGGTATGCTGCAAAATATAACTTCTATTAGATAGAATAGAAGTTATATTTCGCAATATACCCTGCAGTTAAAAAGAATAGGCAGTAAATATAAAAAGGTGAAGAGCTAACAAATATTGAAACACTTGAACTTCTTCTCACTATTATCATTTTTTATGCAGGATAAACGGCGGGTTGATTTGTTTTTGTGCCAGTTAAGGTATCGAACATCTTCTTATATTGTCACATTTAGAGGAAGTACTCCATCTCGTGTCCGTCGGTGATGATACCGTATCCACCACTTTCGTCTTCTCAGCTTGGCACGTTGCTCAACGTTCCACCAAAAATTGCTGCGCTCAGCCCTTCGTCATCGTCCTCCAGTATGACCATAAGTAATGAGAGCAGTAAGTGCCGCCAAAATTTGACGACCATGCATTTCTTGAATTTAGATCGTGGTCTTGATATGAATCAGTATTTGCCTGCTATAAATTGAAGTTTTGCAACGTGGTGTATTTCGTTAGAAAAAATTCTCGAAAGAAGAGTCATGGCTTTTATTCGTTTCATTACTTGTTTTGTTAACCTACGGGTTTGTATGATGGGCGCATGTAGAGCAGTGGTTGGAGGAGTCCTGCAATACAGACTGCGGCCGCATCCCAGGTTTACCAAGCGTTCCATTCCTAGGGGTTGGTAAATTGGTGGCAGACTTGTCTGGGACGATACTGGCTCGATGCATCTGTGGGCGACCACGATTGTTATTGTAGAAGGCCAGATATGCGTTAAATCACCTCCAGCAATGCTTAATGAAGTCGAATGCATGGTGTTTCCCTCAGGGTCAACGCTGATCAACGCTGAGAGCCCTATCCTTTTTTATCCTCTGTGTGTTCGCATGAAGTCGGGTGTAGTGTGTAGTGCAGTGGCTAGAGATAGCCTGTAATACACAGCTGACCGTTGGTTCGATCCAGGGTATTCAGTTTATCAAGCCTTCTATTCCTCCAAGTTCGGCAAATTACTACCAGATTTGTATTGGGAAATAGCATTGTCTTGGCATAGTCATCACGTATAGCCCACATTTTCATTCACCCGTCTATAGCCATTCCTGATGGAGTCAAATGCATGGCAAATCCCATAGGGAGAGATCATTGCCGAACGCTTTATCTTTTATCCTTTATATATTCATAGGTTCTGTAGTTTTTATCAAAATGCCTTGTGGTTCCTCTCACCCATACTCTATTCTTCTCTATTCTATTTTTATGACTGTTTTCTGTCTCTTACGCTTTCGTCAAATGATTAAGTTTATTGCGAAGACAGTATATTTCCTGTTCAGCAGCAAAAAAAGTATATTTCCGTTAGAAATCTTTGTATGGTTGACGATGACATCAGGAAATTGATACTGATTTGCTATAGTGACAAGTAATGTGGCGTCATAGAAATTGAAAATCAGGTGTCATTGTTGTTGGAAAGGCTACAACACATTGGATTGGTTGCAAACTTTCCGTATTAAATACACAACTTGTAATTCAGGCTCTTCTTCCACTCCATCACCATTATTAGCGAAAATCAAGAAAGATCGAGACTGTCATTGCGAGATTTGTGGGAAAACTTTTGGTCGTCATTGGCTATTGCAAGGACATTTGCGTACGCATAGTATGTTATTTTCGCCGCTTTTTAGTACGATTTTTCTCCTTTTCATGTTTTATTGATTTTGTTTTCGTTATTTTTGAAAACTGCTGAAAAGAAAGTGGAACTTTAGAAAAGAACTGAAATGAGTTTTAAAGTTTTTTGAGCGTTCTCAATTTGATTTTTCTTAAATCATTACACCTCCCAAAGGTTTACCGCCTCATTGTAGCTGGGAGGTGTTCTTGGGTCTAGGAGTGCGTTGTGCAGCGGGGGATTCATTGCACCAGCTCCGTCTAGAGCTGAGAAGGAGTCCGGCGTTTCCAGCGGGAAACCCAACTAAGAGTAAAACAATAGCAGGATGGACCATCGTCCTGAGATCAAATTTATGGCATAGTGGCAAATCTCCCTCTGATCCACGATGGCGGCAGCTGCCTGTAGTGATGACGACCTGGGGCAGACTTTCGCCAGGCCGACCTCGGGACACTAGAGGAACGCAAAGGCTAAACCAGCTAACCTCCACAAAATGGAGAATATGCTGGGGCTCGCACAGCTAGTGTGGACGGGCCGTCCAAGTATCGAAGTAAGTAGGTAGTAAAGCATTATCAAGGTGAAGATAGGAAGACCCTACTTTCTAAATACATGTGTTACTCAACTGTAATTGTCATCCGCAATATCTCGCTTTGCCTTGTAAAGTTGGTCCTAAAGTTATGTTTTCAACAATCTTTGCGATGTTATAATATATTAAACAGCTAGATAACAAAACAGGTCTAAATGAACATTTGTGTTAGTTTTCCTATTACAGTGAATTTGTTCAAAAAATGAAGCACTGTTGATTCTTTTTAAGAAATTCTTGTTTCCAGGATCATCGAAAGTTTGAGAGGTCATTACAATTAGATCTCATAGGCATTGCTCTCTTAATTTATTTACGATACTTGGATAGCCCGTCTTTACTGGTTGCGTGAACTCTAGCATAGTTTCCATTTTTTCGGAGTTTTGCTGGTTTAGCTTTTGCTGTTCGCTAGAGTCCCGATGTCAGTCTAGCCAAAGTTCGCCCCAAGTCGTCACCACCACAAGCAGTCACCGCTCTAGTGGATCAGAGGGAGATTTGACAGTTTGATATCAGAACGGTGATAGGTCCTGATGTTGGTTTAGTTAGCTGGGTTTCTCGATGGAAACGCCTGACTCCTCAGCTTAGGAGACCCTGCTAAGGGGATGAATCGCCCTGCTGTACACCACAGTCCGACACCCAAGAATACGTCGCAGCTACGATGGAGCAGCAAATCGTTGGGAGGCTCCTCAACAATAGAGTTCGATATTTTGGAAAAGCATTTCGCTATGATAATATGACAAATCATCCAGACTTCTTTAAGCTGGCTCAGTGCACAAAAAGTGCATGCCGATCAATTTGTTTCAACATAGCTGTCAGGGCCCACTACCGTTGCGAGGATTGTTCTCTTAAACCTAAGGTTAATCAGTCATAGTATGGCTATTATTCCCGTCACTGTTCATTTCGATCGTTTTGAACAATGTTAAGGAAACCAAAAAATATGTAGTAGACTTACTCCAAGCGAGGTGAGGCAAAGTGAGAAGCCTTGTGCCTTGTTATTTTTAGTTGCTCAATCATCATTCTATTTGATAACTCATCACCTTTATCACCTACTTTCTATCACTAATCGGAAAGAAGTGGAATGACCCTGTCATGATGTGGCGAGTGAGTTTTGCCGTCATCCACTCAAATTTTTTGCGAAAGTGATCCGATAGGACATATCGCTTACAACGACTACTCTCGATCTAGTGCAATGCATTCTGTATGCCACTGCGTTCAAACACTTTTTAATACACGTCTACACTTTATACACCCACATTAATTTTTCATTAAAACCTTCTAGGCATTCTTCCGTTTGGCCAGATCGACTAAATGTGCATAGACCGCATCGCCCTATCCGATATGCTCTTCTTTGCATCTGAGGGTGAAATATGATAAACAACAAAAGAATCAACTGTTTAGATGGCTTTTGTGTTTGTGCCAACATTTACATTCTTAACATATCACCTTATCATATCCGTTTACTAAGAATTACTTGGATACTTGGATACTTGGACGGTCCGTCTTCACGAGCTGTGTGGATCCAGCGCATATGCCATTCGTTCCTCTCTCTCGCAATCGTAGTCCATGGTGGAGGTCTTATTCGAGCATGGTAGCGCTTGCGAGTCTCATACCGTGATCTGTAAAACAACTACAGCTAATTAACTTTGTTTACGAACACGTCCGCCCAACATGTAGGTGGTCGTCAAAGGAGATGTTAGCATTCTCTTGGAGTCTACTCTACTGTTCTTTTTGTCCATCTGTCGTCTGTTCTTCTCATCATGTTACCAGCCTATCTATGTTTCGCTGTCGGTGTATATTTTCCTGGATCTCGAAGATGTGACAGGTTTCGTAGTTCAGAGCTTCGCGTTCCGGCTACATAATGAGAGTGCTGGTTACATTTCAGAAGACATCGCTCAAGCGCTCTGACAGTAGTTCGAAGCATTCTTGACGTAGTTGAAGTATTAACCCACGTCTCTGCAGCATAACAAAGCGCTGGGAGGAGCGGTAGAATCAAAGAGATGAGCGCGGATTTTCGGGTCCTTCAGTTGGTCGGTGGCTTCTTTGAGATGCCTGAATGCGGCCCAAGTTGATCTCCTTCTTCTATCTAGTTCCTCCTTCATGTTGCCTTCCATGTTCATTGATCGCCTAAGGTACGAGGTGGCCTTTGCAATGAGAGAACCATCCATTTCAATTTTTCGCCTTTGCACCATGGTTTTTGTCATGAACTGGGTCTTCTTTCGATTTATGCGAAGTCCGATCTTTTTCCCTGCCTCGTTGAGCTCGTTGATCATCACCCCTGCTTCGCTAGTTCTCCTTGAGAAGATGGCAATATCGTCGGCAAAGCGATGGTTTGATAGGAATTTTCCATCAATATGCGTGCCTTTCTCATCCCAATCGAGTGACTTCATTATCCACTGCAGTGTGACACTGAACAGCATTGACGATATTGTGTAGCCTTGTCGAACTCCTTTTCCTATAGGTATTCTAGGAGATCGATGGAAAAGCTGTATTTTCGTAGTGCAGTTCCGATAACAGTTGGCCAGAGTCCTTATGTAGTACGGGTCCACTCCTTGGTCGACGAGCGCTGATAGGATTGCATACGTTTCGACACTGTCAAACGCTTTCTCATAGTCGACAAAGGTTAGGACTAGAGGCAAGTGGTATTCCCGACAAACTTCGATGACCCTGGACACGGTTTGGATGAGTTCCATGCAGCAAAATCCTTTTCGAAATCTTGCTTGCTCGACTGGTTAACCACATCCAATGTCTTTGATACGCGCGAAAGAATAATCTTCGTGAAGAGCTTGTAGAGTACACTTAACAGGCATGCGGGACGATAGTTACGAAGATCCCCTCGGTCTCCTTTCTTGAGCAGGATGACCATGCGCGATGTCCTCCACTGGTCTGGGATTTTTCCTTTTGAAGGTAGTTTGTCATATGATCCGCGAGAAGTACATGTAAATTGTGGCATCCAGCTCTAAGAAAATCGGTAGTGATATTAACGGGTCTTGGAGCTGTGCCTCTTTTCATGCTTTCTATCGCACCTCGAACCTCCGACGGAAGAATTCTACGTAGTTTTTTTCCATCGGGGATATTAGGGCCAGGGGCGGTGATTGTGGAACGGAAAAGGTTGGTGTAGATCGTTTCCGTTATTAATTCCATATCATGACGAGAACTTTCGACGATCCCATCTTTGTTCATCAGTGCTGACAGCGGAACATTATAATCACACAAGTCCCGATGGCTTTTTTTCAGACCGCTTCTTTTCTCTGCTGCTTCCAGTATTTTTTTCTGCTTGTACCGTTGTAGATCCTCCTGCAAAGCTCTTTTGCAGCTGGCACTTATTACTAGCCTTGTTAAACGTGCTGCAGTAGGTTCAAGCTTCAGTTTCCTTCTTTTTTCGAGCAACTCCTTAGTAGTGATAGAGATGCAATCTGATCTTCTTGCTTGACGAGCTGAGGCGAATTCGACACAGCTTTTCAGTCCCTCGACAGGCAGCTCATAGTCTTCGGTCGAGTCTTCTTTAATCTGCCAGTCACGTTTGGACAGGACTTCGCTCAGAATGTTCTCGGCGTATACAGCTAAACTTTTTCCGCGTCGTCGATGAAGAGAGTTGTTTTCCAGCTTGCGGCTGAATCGAATCTTCGCGCGAAGAAGGCGGTGATCGGAACCAGTACAGAATGACGGGACTACCGATGTGTCAAGTAGGCACCATCTTCTGTTCGTCAGAATATGGTCGATCTCCGCATAAGTTATGCTGTTGAGAGACTCCCATGTCCAGCGGCACCTTTCCTTCTTCTGGAAAAACGAGTTTCCATGGAAGAGACGTGCTACTGACAGGAGTCCTGCGAGGCGGTTCCCATTCTCATTTCTTTCTCCTAATCCAAAATTTCCGATTCTGTATTCGCTCTCGTTGGCCTTTCCTATTCTGGCTTTGAAGTCTCCAACAACAAATTTATGATATGTTTTATCATTGCCGATGGCCTCCTCCAACTGATAGTAGAACGCGTTTAATTCGTACCCATCAGCTGCGTCTGTCGGTGAGTAGTAGTTGATGATAGTGATCTTCTTATGATGCGACATTTGAAGACGGAGGACGGCTATGCCAGGGGAAAGGAACACGTATGAGTCGACGAGATGGAGAATGGACGGGTGGACGACGAAGCCTACGCCACCGACATTTCGTGACGGACCTTTCCTCTGCGGATTGCAACGGTTCCGTTGTTTAGTTGGTGTATGTCGGTCTTCTTGATTTTTGTTTCCTGTAATGCGATCACATGAAATTTAATGCGATCTGCGGCTACAAGAAGGGCGTGAAGGTCGACGTCTGTGGACAGTGTTCTGGCATTATACGTGCATAGTAAGAAACAGTCTCTATGGCGTGTCGTGCGTGTGTTCGTCAGTTCCGGTTCCAATGACGTCCTGCGTAACTCCATATTTTCTAGCCTCTCACCGGTCGTCTCACCATCTGACGTCATAGACGGGAGCACCCAGTGTGCGGGGTACTGAGGTTGGACTATTGCTGGTCGTGAAACTTGGTCTTCCCTGGAGTCCTGACGTAACTTTGCAATTGCGTATCCAGGTCTTCACCACGATGTGGATCAGAAGGAGGGGTGTTTTCGCCGACGAATCCCTCGCTCGGTCTTTCTACTAGTTGATTTGGAGAGATGTTAAAACCGAAATCAGAAATGAAAGTAGGAATGTAAAAGTAACTGAACGCTCAAGGGCGATGGTGAAACCGAATGAGAGAATAAGTGAGTAGTAATCCTAAAGCGACCTTCATTATACTTCGGCACAAATAATCGGTGCATCCTGCGATTATCAAACTAACACAGGGTTGTTAAAAAGAGTAATATTTCTGTTAACGTTTCGGCGCCTTTCCATTCTTCAAAGCCGAATTGGTCCAACTCGTTGACCACAGCCGATCGATGGTAAGATATGGGTGCTTGTTGTCGCATCGAGTTGAGTTACGTGGAGCTTAATCACTGAAGAAAGAGTTGGTGAATCGCGCCAATGTTAAAAGAAAGCCACCCTTTGGAACATAGTTGCGCCATGTGTCAGCAATAATGATACCGACTACTGCAGGATGCACTGCAGCAACCAAAAAAGGAAATTATACTGGATTGCGGCAACAGGTCAACATTCGTCCTGTACAGAAGAGCACGATGAGAGAGGATATTTCATTGGAGCCGTCTGCCACTCCATCGGATCATCGGATTCGACCCGGCACGACAACGAAGGCTGACATCGCCGCAACGGCTACGGCTGGCAGTGCACCATCGACTCCGCTTCTCTGAAGAAGGCGAAGGCCCCGAAACGTCATCCGGAATGAAACTTTTCATAATAACCTCTTGATTATTGAAGAAATTATTGCTTGAGTGTAGTTGAGCATTTGGTTTCTACTTCTGTGGAAATAATAAACGAAAATGGTCCTACTTCGTGTTTGGTGGAATGTGGCGTTGGTGAACATGCTGGATTGGTCGAATTTGGTGAAAAAATCACTTTGAAATTTTTCTAATCGTTAAAAAAGTTAAATGTTTGCAATCAGTACAATGGTTAAAGTCACATCACTAGTAGTGTAGGGGCTGAATGAACGAAGTGTGGTAAGAAGTTCGTCTTTACTTGAGTTTCGGCTCTGATGTTGTAGTGAAAGAACACCATAATTTTCAACCTTTGCGGCAATTCTTCTCAGAGGAAAAAGTCGTAAAGAATGAGCTTAAAATAGCTTGTTCAACTTTTTTGCTTTTATGTTCAAAGGTTTGAGGGTTCAGCTAAAGCCTAAAGGGGTTTGAGGAATGAGCTGTGATGTCCTCGTTAGAAATAACAGTGAATATTTTTGGATGTACACATACTTTCTTACTATATAGCTTCTTTGTTCGTTGTCGAATTCTATTTCAGCTGGTGAGAAGCCGTTTGTGTGCAGTGTTTGTGGCAAGGCATTTGCCGACAAGAGCAATCTTAGAGCGCATGTACAAACACATAGCAGTAAGCGTATTTACGTTTTTCTTTACATCAACATTTACGACAAATACCATTTTACTATATTATATTAGAGGCGGATAGCACAGTGGTAGTGATATCGGTCATCACGAGTGTGGTGCTAGTACGATTCCACTCCTGGCCTACCATGCCTCTCATCTCTCCAGGGTCGCGAAATTGGTGCCGGACCTGTCCGGGAAAAATTCGCGTTCTGCAATCCAGTTGGACACGCTCCATCCCGGCTATCTCAGGACCACAGGGAGAATCGACTCGACCAGCATTCTGTGACATTCGAGATGAAATGAAAATCTTCAAGCAGAAGCTGAAGCTGTACGTAAAAGTTGGGAGATCTTCGTGGATAATGAGTGCGAAGAAACGAATCCAATGTGAGAAGTGGTGGGATCCGCTCAGTAGACGTGAACATGGATCATATGAAATGAAATGGAAAGAATTATCTATTAAGTTTTTCTCATAGCGTTATTTGCAGAAGAAAAAGTACTGGGCTTAAATGTGTAGCTGTTTTCGACTATTATATGCTATTATGCACAAATTGCACTGTGATACCCTTTTTATGCCATGAATAAGTTATGCAGTGGGCCACTCAGTGGTATCCAAGATATCGAATAATAGGCGTTGAGAAATCTCCAAATCGATTGTGCTGATTTTTGCAGGTGAGAAACCTCACCTCTGTTCACGCTGTGGAAAACGCTTCGCTCTGAAGTCCTATCTTAGCAAGCACGAAGAGTCGGCATGCTATCGTTCATCATCTACCACGACCTCGACGGGAAAATCTGCCACCTTTAGCCCCCATACAGCGACATTGCTCAAGTGAGATGTGGGTAACGATACAGCGAATCGTTTTCTACTTTTCGGGTGCTGAGCTATGATATGAATACCTAGGTATGAATAACTTCCTCTTTTAGAGTTTTACTCTTTGCTAACTAAAAATAGTTTTATATTCTTGATTGTCTACTTTATTGCAATTTCTATTTTGGACAATGAGTAAGCCGGTGTTACCAATTATCAGCGATGTTGAAGCAAAAGAGCAAAACGAGTAGAAAGCCATGTGCTGTTTTATGCTTCTATGAAGAGAGGGAATTTTCGCAGCATTAAATTTTGTCTGGAGAGCGCGTTTCCTTCGTTTCTCCAAGGTTTAGAGGCTTAACTTAGATAGTTCATTCACATCTGCTAACTCAGTCATAGTAATGGAACCAAAAGCTGCTAGCTCTTCTGACATCTCAATGAAGCCTTCAAGTGCTTTACCATTATCGTTTGAATCTCGTTATAGAAGTCTATATAGTAATAATATATTTTGCATGTATTTCATAGCCTATATTCTCTCTCGAGCCTTTTCCCAACGTTCTTGTGCCTTTGAAACTCCTACTAACCATTTACTTTTTGTATCTCACCTCTCATGTAAACCATAACTCGAAGCAATCCATCTTATATTGCAGTTTTATGAAGCTTGGTAGATAGAACATTTTCTTTATTGATCCAAATAAACATTGATTGCCTGACTGTTTCGGTTACAAACAAAACAATTAGGGACAGATTTTGTACCACAGCTCTTCGGATTCCATTGTAAGAGTGGAAATATCCGTGAAGACCGAAATGTTGGTGAATTTATGAGCTGCCGTCAAAATGACACCATCAGCTCACCTAGCGATATCTCTTCACTTCTTGAGCCGTTCATAACTCAGTGTATGGTCATTCATTATAATGCCATTGTACATCGATACTCGTTCTGCGCGTGCAGCTGTCTTGATGGCTTTATCTTTTTTATCTATATCATGGAATACCAATCGAGATGATTTTCTCTCTCACCCTGAGATGGCCCCAATGTAACGATCCAAGCTCTTCGTCACAAGATGTCGCAGGGTTTTTCGGATCGGAGAGCACTTTTCAAGGCGGTCTGAAATTAACTGGCCAGCTCCGCAGAGATGGGAACGTTGGCTGACATTGTGCGGCGTTGAACCGGCGATCAAGCATGTACTGTAGATCATCTCTATCCACATCGCTTCTCACCAACCCTCAAGATAGTCGTTGTAATTTATTTGCCTCATATTTTAGTTTCTTTTCCTCTATTTAATATCTAGAATTTTCTTTCAGAAAATATAATTCGTTTCAAATCTTGACAACACTTCAACTTCTCATAAAACATCATGTGACCCTTTGGAAGCATATTTAAGAAATCTTGGTTAACAGTAAGTATAGGAGCAGGTTGTTTTGATGATGTAAGTGTATTATAAGTTATTGTAGCCGGTGGCAATGTCGCAACAGAAATATGTCTGGGATGATATTTCAGCGGCTGATTGGTTGAAAGGCACCGCGGAACTTTATGAGGGATTTACGGTCAGCAACACGCGACTCGTCGTAAATCGGCGCCAGAGAGCTATGGCGCCACTTGCGGCTACGAAACCCGAGGCGTTCATAGTGGTTGTGGTGCTAGCATAGGCACTTGGTTTATTATGCCTCAGTAAAAATGTAGTACGAGGGTGTCATGCGTAACAAAATTGGTGGGGGTGTTTTGTGGTTTCCTTCAAATTCACCAAACCCTCTCTGTGGCTTCATCTGATGAGGGGAACGTAGTTGCGGGAAATGCGACATTGGTAGGAGAACGCTAATGCTGAAAAATTAGATGAAATAGTTTCAAACTTTTCTGCTTAATTTGTCACAGGAACTCGTGGCTCGTTGCCCTTTGCAGCAACTTAAGATATTGGAAGCTTAGAAAACTCCTACTAGAAAGCAAACTAGGCTCTTTTTAATTCCTCAAAAATATTGGAGGTTTGGTAGTGTAACAGTTTTAACGTCTATATAGAGGTTTTTTTTTAAAGTTGTAGGTTATGAAAAATTCGGCAGATAGTTCTCAGGTCATCGAAACCAAATACTTGGCAGTTGATTACAATCATGGAAGCTATTTTTTCCCTAGTTTATGACACTTCATAGCAGTGGCTTGAATGAATGAACTAAGGAAATTGTTGAGAAATAGTAGGATATCATGGCCTACCAATATGTCAAGTTACTGCTTTATCCCCTCAGAAATTAATGCAAACCTGCCGTCCCAGGCGGAATGTTTGGTTTGAACAATGCGTGGAGTTGAACCAGCGACCATGTATTGCTGAATTCTTTTCTGAGCAATGAGCTACACAGGTCACTAATTCGTCACATAGCGCTTATCGAACATGCTACTGAGAAGGTGACCTTAAATCCTTCCAGTGACACACAAATGAGAGAGAATCTGAAACTCTGATCTGTATCGAGGGTCAAAAACCAAATAAGCTGCCACGTATATCGTGATGACGATAAATCAGTGGGACCTATACATAGTATTTCTAAGAGAAAAACAATAAAGTGCTAATTGGAAAAACACTGATCTAATGGCCAGATTTCTTTACAAAATTGTTGAAAGAATAACATCAGCCCTTCGTGTTCTTTTTGTGAGCAGAGCACGCTAAGCAATTCGGCCAGAGAACAACTGAAAAGCCTGCTTGAGTCTCATTCGAACTACTGGACCACCACAAGCAGGATAGTTGGTTGGTATACTTGATGGCAGTACTTCCCGAACTCTAACTCATCACTGTGACAAAAGCATGTCCTTCGATGTTGGATTGCAGTGTAAAGCAGATGGTTAATGCTCTCAGCAAAACTAAAAAAGCGAAAAAGAGTGTGACATTTCAATTCGGAACCTTAATGAAGAGTAAAGCAGTGCTAGGAATCGCTGCAATAAAATTAGCGTGCTAGCAAATCTGTTTTCGGTTCACAAACACTGCCAACTGGTTATGGTGACCCCTTGAGAACGTTATATTAGACTAGCCTCGATAACAAAAGCGGATGATCTAACCATCAGTACACTTGCCATACTACTCCACACACTATACTTCTCTGTTCACAACGTCGGGTGCTGAGGCAGTCGCTGAGAAGCGATCAAATCTTGAGTTGCATAAGATGTCACCTGAATCGTATCAAGCAGCATGCATATGATTTTGCTTGCTCCTCATACGCAGTATCCGAATATCATAGCTCAGCCTTCATGGCCTTCTAGATACCAGAGCTTATATGAAAAGATCGTTCGATTCTGCTTGCGAACATACTCTGCACCTGTTAATGAAGTTTATCTTATCGTCACAATGTCAACATTTTATTTGCTGCCTACTACAGTTTTTCACTGCAAGGTATTACGTGAAATAACCATAATGGTGCTGAGATACAACCATAATGGTGATGACGACATATTTGCAAAACTTTGGACCGCAGGTGTCTGCCGTGTGGAACGAACAACACGCAGTTACCCCTTCCTGGGACCAACGCGTTCACCGCCTCACCATGTGGATTTTTCGTTTCGCTTGTCTCTCAGCTAGTTTTCTATCTACCAGTGCCATCAACAATTAAACGTCAACGGGATTGATCTTGAGAGCACAATTCGTCATTGAGCCGAGTTAAATTCAGGCTACAGTTGAAATCATTAGTTTGAATCAGGGTACTTGGATCGCAACCGCGGACACTTGCGGTCCTGAGTTTTGCAAATATCTCGGCATTATTATGATTATATTTCACATAATGCCTTACGATGAAAAATTGTAGTAGGCAGCAAATAAAAATTTAACATTGTAACTTGAACTACAGCCTCAGTTTAACTGGGTTCAATAGCGAATTGTTCTCTCCACCGACTTAGGCTCCATAGATCAATCCTGCTGACAGGTGATTGCTGATGGCAAAAGATCGATAGAACTAGCTGAGAGACAGGCGAAACGAGGAACCTGTATGGTGTAGTGGTGAACGCGTTACTCCTCGGAAAGGGTAGTAGCGTGCTCGATCCCCACCACAGACACTTGTGGTGCTGAGTTTTCCAAATATCTTAGCATCACTACGGTTGTATTCCATTTTCTTGGTGATATCAGGGGCTTTTTGTGATTTTAATCAAGTTGAGATGGCAGATTTGTGGTAGGAGTTCGGCTTAGTGAAGGCTAGAGTGCCCTACCCTAACTAGTAGCCCCTACTACCTGGTCCAATGTTCACTTGTTTCAGTTAATGTGAAGGATTCAGAAGCACTGAAAGGACTTTACTTGCTTGAATTTTTGGAACTTGTCGTGAAATTTGTTTCACCATTCTTCAACAGCCTTATGCTAAATGGTGTTCGAGATATCAACTCAGTACTGCTGCTTCGAAGCCGTTCGCGATCACTTTGATTTGATAGAAAAGGGCACAGACATTAGTGGGAAATTGCTCTCCAACTATTATTTGCAATGGTATTGCCACATTTTTGGAAAGCCCACAGAAATCAGAGATTACGCTCAAACAGCTCAACGGAATGGCGGTCAGAAGGGTAACAAATGGAATAAATTGGGATCATATTCGGGTCTCTCAAGGAGATGCATCTATCAGCTGAAACTTTGTAGCCTGGCGCTCGCCAATTTGGCTCAAAATTGCAAAAACTCTGTTGTGCAGCTGAGCACGTTGGTAGTCAGTGGTCTAGAAACTTGCACAGCACTCACGGACCACTCAGTAGATACATTCTAAAACAATCAGAATTGCCAATGTTTTTTGAATACTGCGTAGTATTAGACCATTGTTATGTACTTGTACTCAAGTATACTTACGTTGATGTATTTGCATCTCAGTGCATCTCAGTCTCATCTCATCTCTTCAGATTGCTTCCTCTGTTTCAGTTTTACGAAAAATGTGCAATAAAGTAGCTGACAAGTAGACGAAGGGAGAGCTTTCGCCCAACAAATAAGCTCCGTGTATGTTCCGAGAGAGTACGAAATGTTAAACAAATTTGTCCTGCTCCCACGGACTATCTCATGGCCAAAAACAGTTAAACGAATCATCCTCTTACGAGTTTGATGTTGCTTCTCAGTTTTCAAGGGGAGTGACTACTCAATGATTCCTAGGGATGGAAGGCGGCTCTACACGTATCTGTAATGAGGAAGAAAAATCGTTAACTTCTCACAAACTAGTCCAATAATTCTCATTCAAAATCTATAAACTGCAAGCTTTTGCCTGCTTTGAAGCATCTATCACCTTTTCTATTCGAAGACTGTCTGGATAAATTCTCATGGCACGTAACACATTAAGAAACCGCTAGTGTATGCATTCGTCTACGATGGAAGGTTTTAATACAAACACAGCGAGTACAGAGAAATCATGACAGTAATTTACAGCAGCCAACTTTACGATCCAGAGAATGGTATTAGGAACAAATTCCACGCCCGACTCTCTTTTGACCTCGGCATTGATCAATAATTCACTGTTTTCTTGATAGGGAAACACGAGTTTGTTTTCAGAGTATTGATTCACAATAGCTAATTTTCCATTGGTTTAATCTTTTTCGGAACCTGGAAGGGGCTAATTCACTTGCAGTCGACTCATTCAAACGCATTCATCGCTTTAGTAAAAAAAAAACTTAATGCATAATGTTTGGTCAAGGCATAAGCTTTTTTCTATGGGCTTCGTTTATTTTTTTAATTAGAGATCATCTAATGCATTCGACCATCAGACTTAATGGTGTTGTTGGAAAAATGCTAGGAACGCAAACAACGCAGAATGATTAGACCCCGCCGATCGCAGGTTAAAATGTCAGGTAAAGGATATTCAGATACAATCATGTTCTTTCGCATGCTGCAGGTTTCAATTGATAATAGAGATTAGATTCGTTGCAATGATTTACGGTAATAAATGCTAAAGGATAAAGTTCTCGGCGTTGTTCAATCCCTAAGGGATGCGTTATGCATTCGACTTCATTAAGCATTGTTTGGAGGTGATTGAAGCCTACCGAAGTATCGAGTCAGTGCTGCTATCCTTCTAGATAAGTCTGGTGCCTGTTTGCCAACCCCGGATGGATGGAAGGCTTGGTGGGCCATGGGAGCGGAGATCGATTTCACGTGTGTGTTGCAGAGCGCCTCCGACCAGTGCGCCACACGCACCCTTATTACGATTATTACACTAATACATTCAATGAGATTGGGTATGATCAGACGTTGTTATAATAAACGTCTTCCAGTGATCCTTTTGAAGCATTTGAGATTCTCACTGAATCAGAAAAGGCAGCACTATCACTTTATACAGAATGTAATACACTCATTTACTCACGCTTCAATTTTGTGAGAATTTCGCCGTATAAATACTAAGTATACATTTTATTCTCTTTCACTAATAAAACAACTCTGCTTACTACCATTTTAATACATCTACTCGAATAATCACGAGATAATAACGAGCGCGACCTACTTCATCACTACAAGAAGAATCCAGCATGAAGGGATGAGATCATCATGCTATGACACCGTCCCAAATACTGCGGTATAACGTCTGCACCGGAAGACGATGTGAGATGTGTTGAAATCTATTACACGTCGGACATCAAATCCACCAGGGATGAAGGTACACTGAAAATTTGTTCAATGTTATAACGTTCCTATTACTCTACTATCTGAAAGATTTTTCTTACTATAGGGACGAATTTTGATTCAACCATTCAACAATGGATGGTAGAATATCATATGAAGATTGACCAGGTGCTAAGGAGTAGTGCAGGAGAGCTTCGGAAGCGTATGGGTCTTGTCTGGTATCTTTACACGAGCACTCACAATAGTTTGAAGCCCGCTGAACTGGTATTGCGACAGAGCACATTCTTTTCGTCAGAGTGGAGATCGAGAATTGAATCTTCTTCTGAGAGTCGTGAAGACGATAGCCTAAAAGAATCAGAACATATGTACGTTCTAGCTCTTACCGTTTCTCCAAGTTTATAGATCTTTCCGGTTAACATATTATTTTAGCGCTACCATAAAGTAAAGTCGTTTTTATGTATTGCTAAATTTCGTCGTTATGGGCTAACGACAACAAAGGGCGATGTCACAAAAAGCTAACAGTTTCTTCGTTTGAATTTTGTTCCCTTGCACTATCTTGGAACTTTCCTCCTAACGGTTTCCCGCCCCATCGTGGCTGGGAGGTATTCCTGGGTGTCGTGCTGTGACGTATAGCTGAGGGATTCATCCCTTCAACAGGGGTTTCCAAACTGAGGAGTCCGGCGTTTCCACTAAGATGCCCAGCTAAGAGTAGACCAGAACCAATATCAGGATCCACCACCGCCCTGGTAACAAACTAGTCGCATGATAGTAAATCTTCCTCTGATCTACAAGGGCAGCGACTGCCTGTGGTGATGACGACATGGGGCAGACTTTGACCTGGGTGACCTGAGGGCGCCTGGGAACCACAATGGCTGAACCAGCAAAACTCCGAAAAAATGGAGATTATGCTGACGCCCGCATAACAAGTGAGGACGGGCCATCCAAGTATCCAAGTAAGCATATTAAAACTTCTCAGAGATAGATTTCTTTTACTAAAATGAGACGTTTTAAAATTAGTTGAAATTTCGGGTGATGAAGCAGTTCACCTATTGGGAAGCAGAGCTTGTGATGAATCTGATGGCGCTAGAATTACTACGCCGATACCCGGCTTGACATCAGGAATGCAGTCGAAGACGATGCAACAAAGGAATATTGCTCGCTCTAAGATATAAACATGTGATCAAAAATCAAAAACAAAATGGAGGATAAATAAGGAAAGCATATGAAACGTAACAAGGAGACTTTATAGAGTGATTGCAGTTGCTGCGTACATGATAAGTTAACAGCGCTCTATAGAGCTGCATAATTTCCACTCACCACAAAATGTATTAGAAGCATGATCAGCATATAGTGTGGCACTACAGCAATAACCTTATTAATTATGTATTGAAATACACTGGAAGGATGACTACTTAAAGAAGAAGCGCTTTCCTCCCAATGACAGAAAACTCACAAAAGAGTTTCATGTGGTGGGACAGCTTTTTTTTTATAATGAAGAAGACGAAAAAGTAACACAACCGATGTAGGTGAAGATACCGTTGGGAAAATGCAGTCTTGACAGGAACATAATAAAAAAAAGAGAGACTTGTTTTATTTTTTACGACAACCATGCCTACCATTCAAAACATGTAACCAGAGAGGTAGCCTGGTTGGAAAGACGAACAAGAAGTAGAACGAGAGTCCGATGAAGCAGATTCCGATGGCCAGAGAAGTGGAGGAAAACTCTTGAAAGATCGGAATCACCACCAATGCGACAGTGATTACCAGGAACGCGTAGATGCTGAAACACGTCAATGAATTAATATGGAGATAAAGACGTCAATAAATTCTACAGCACATTTCACTTTGTGGGAAAATAACTATCCAGAAAGTAAATTAAGTTGTAACTTGGAATGAGACTTCAAAAGAGGGACCACGAAAACATTGTTTGGTTCTATCTTTCTCAAATACACATTTTCTTTTCTAATAGATTCACTAAAAAGACGCTTGTGGCGCAGTGGTTAGAGGCGCCACTGCGACACACACGTGGAATCGATCCTCGCGCCCATGGCCCACAAAGCCTTCCATCCCTCCGGGGTCGGCAAATTGGTACCAGACTTGTCTGGGAGGATAACAGCACTGGCTCGATACATCGGTAGGCCACTGCAAGTTATTGTAAAGGCCAGATATGAATTCAATCACCTCCAAACGATTCTTAATGAAGTCGAATGCATGGCGCATCCCTCAGGGATTGATCAAAGCCGAGAGCTTTATCCTTTCTTATCCTTTAATAGGTTCACTATTCCAAAGTTGCAATTATAGAGAGCAGATCTCATTATATTAAGCACAATTGCTAATCGTTCAATAAGGATCTGGACCGTGTATTAGTTGTGCACCCAAAATACAACATGTAAAGTCAATCTCATGCTTTTTCAATGTCTTCAGTTTTGAAAGTTCTTCTTGATAGAAAAAAATTACTTCAATAATTATTCGTGGGTTATATTAGCAGCATTAGCTATAATAGAAATCATTTAATTAACACCTTTATGCTTGAACATGATAGTAATTTCATCGATCTGGACAATAATCTATTACTGCAGCTACCTCTGGAATGCTCCAGGTCCTTCCCACCGCACAGAGCGGAAAGCGAAAAGAGCTCCGCGTTCTCAACAAAGAGTACCAGTACTTACTTACTTGGATACTTTCGATTAGAAGTTGAAAAAAAACACAAATTGTGAAGTAAAAGTGAACGTTAACGTTAAAGTGAAAGTGAACGTTTCCACTCACCACCACAACGGAACGCGTACGGCTTCTGCATGAACAGGAATGCGATTGTGTCTAATGATGAGGAGGGCAACGAGGGTGAACACACGCTGTGCCCAGAAACCGAACATCACGTAGCCGATCAACGCGTCCAGGTCACCCACGAACGAAATCGCCATCGCCAGAGCTGACTGGAATCGTCGTACTTTTGGAGTATGAGATTCTGCTATGAAATTTAAAGTGCACCGTAGTTAACGGCATAGTTTCTTTTGGATAAATATTTGGGTAGGAGGAAGGATATGCCAAAATACGAAAAGGAGCAACTATTCGGCACATAATGATTTCTGAGGGAAGAGTTATCTATTCAATTCCATTAAGCATCGTAAAGTTAAGTGAATGCATATGTGGTCTACAAAATAACTTGTGAGAGCACACTAATGTACGTTGTTAGCGTTTTTATCATACCGGACAAGTCCAAGAGGAATTTTGACCCTTTCTGACCCTAGAAGAGTGGAGGGCTTCGTTAGCTCCAGGGTGCGATCTAATAAAAAAACTAACTGTCTACTGCAGGTCACCTCTAACCAAATTGTTATGGGTGCTTTTTAAAGTTTAATGTGTGGAATCCTAGGTCCAATAAATTTGCTTAATTTTCTTACTGTGAAGCATTATTGTTTAAGTACAATTGTTTTCAAATTTTCAAACAATAACCGACCTAATAGTTACAAACTTTCACAGAATGGAGCTTTATCAACGGTTCTAAAGTGGAGCGTAAAGCTTGTAACATATGTTTACCACTATGACATGAAAACCCTATTTGGGTTATATTCTCCTCTCTAAGGCCATGATAACGACTGGTATTTTGAGTGAACCTCATGCAGAAATAGGCAGTTCAGAAGTCGGTTTTCTCTTATCCACAAGTGAAATAGGCAAGAGACAGACTTCGGTGGAATGGATGACTTGGTCGCTTTGGATTGTGGATTGGACTTGGGACATCATATACGCGTGTGGTTCCTTACTGTAATGTGCCATGTGACCACAGAACAGAAAGAAAACCATTGAAGGTTCCAGTGGAAGCAAAATCTCTTAGTCCTTCAGCTGTCACCCTAATTCTTCTGTCTAGCATTTCCAAAGCCATTCCAACATATGTATTCATTGATGAATAGTAGTTCCTCTAACCAATCCACAAATCTCGTAGTCGTTCAGCTTCAACGAAAGTCTTTAGCTGACTCATTCTTTATCATATGAAGAAGTTGGATTTTTGCAAATATTGTCCAGAATCAGGTGATAACCGCTTTTTTGCTATTAAGCAAGGAAAGACACATGTTCAATTCCTTTCGTGTTTAGCTTGCATGACCATGGGAACGTACTTAGCATGGGTGTAAAGATATTCACCACTGCGAAAATGAATTTAGAAAAATTAGCAGCAACTATCACCTGAGCAATAACGGCAACTCGTGGCGATTCCGTTGCAACGTTGACGCAGCTGAAGCATGTGGGTAGATGTCCTTGACGAGCCGCAGCATACATGTATCTGAAGATGTCAAGCAACAATCACTACGAGATTTCCTACATGTTCTTGCCGCATCAATTTCGACGACGTACAGTCCCCTAGGGACGGCCGTAGCACATAAGCTCATTAGTAGCCTTCTACCGCAACGTATATCTCCAACGGATGAAATTCGATGAAGAACTCAAACCGTACTCAGCGCCCTTACTCTATTCGTCAGCGAACTGTAAGAATACGGCATGGTAATTCTACGGCGTTAACTGATGCAGTGAGTTTGTTTCCCTTAGATATCCTATTAAACTTCTGAAGTCAAGTTGGTCTAACCAAATGTGCCAGAGATTTTAATTACATCAGACAGCTTTAAACACGGTTCGGTTGAAATTTAAACAAAAGTGGATGACTTTCTGCTCATCACTATGAATAACTTTTCATCCGACCTGCTGCCGGAGAACAAATTGCTGTTGAGCGATCCGATTAGCAGCACACCAATCAGAAATGGAATAACATTGGCGAACGAGCCCAAAGTCGCTTGGCTGAACAGCTGAAATGAACTGCAGCTCTGCTTTCATTGTAAGGAAATGAACTGATGGCTTGGTTAAACTGGTTAAATCTTGGTGTTCTCTTATGCTTTCTAGCTGGTCATGTTAATATGGAGAATCTCATATGCAGATTTTTTTATTATCAAATGTTGTCATTAGGCTTTGGAAAAAAGCACTCCTCGATGAAAAAGCAGCAGATTGTTCCACAACCAGAAAAAGAGTTCAGTATCTGCAAGCGGGTGAATAAAACCACATCACTGAAGAAAAAACAACTTCACTCACAGCAGCGACGGCATTTGAAGATTTTACTGTTTCCACATCAAGGGCTACAAAATAGGCAATGTTCACGGAAACGTAGACCGCAGTAACTGTGGCGATTCCGGAAAGCAAGGCAAGTGGAATGTTCCTGAAACGCCACTGATGGATTTCACTGCAAAACTTAAGGCGATGACGTATAGCTTCCCGATATCTTCTGGGCACTCCAGAATCCTGATCTTCAAGAAGGTTATTAATATTGTTAAACTTATCTCGAAATATACCATGAATTTTTCACTGTCAGATGAAGTGACTTTTTTATTACGCATTGGAAGCAAGTACGTCAAATTACGATCGAAATTCGATTTGTTTAGTGATTATTTACCTTCTTGGTTTCGCGATTTCTCCTGCACTGTAATTCAGTACATCCCATCCCGAATACGCCCATAAGCCACCGTAAAACCCGAGTATCAGGTCTCCCACTTTGTAGTTTGATCCCTTCATCGGGTCACGTAAATTGGATTTCCATCCTTAAAAATGAACAGAACAGAGTATTGAGAAGCAGTGATTCTAGAACAGGTAATGAAAAACGCCTAAGTCCAAGTAAAGTTCAGTAGACCAAAATCGTTGTCACTGTGTAAGCCGATATACCGCAAAAAACTATTAGATGTCAATTAATCGACCCCTCTTGCTAAATTCATCCAGCTAGCAACGTCTATTTAAAATAAAAGGCTCCATCAATTTCCCCCTGTTTGCTGCAAACTAGTGAGTGATGTCACCAATACTGTGTTTTAATAACTTCAACGATGGTGAGATATTTGCAAAACTCCGGACCGCAGGTGTATGCGGTGGAGAACGAACGCGCTATTGGCAAAAGATCGATAGAACTAGCTGAGAGACAGGCGAAACGAAGGACCAGCGTGGTGTGGTGGTGAACGCGCTACTCCCCGGAAAGGACAATAGCGCGTTCGTTCCCCGCCGCATACACCTGTGGTCCGGAGTTCTGCAAATAACTCATCATTGAAGTTATATTTCACAATGTATACCCTGCCGTTAACAAGAGTAGGCAGTAAATAATAAGTTAAAATTGTGTTTTAATAAGTAGTAAAAGCTATCAGAAGAAAAAAAAGCGCCGGTTGTCGAAGGTTGTTTGTGGTTGTAGAAAAATTGCGAATGATGAAGTCCACCAGAAATGTGCGTGCCTTATGATCGCAGAGTTTGAAAAGTAGATGAATGAATAATTCTCTATAAACTGTCGAATAATTATAAGAATTTCAGAACTTCTGAAGAAGATATTTAAGATCCAAATAGAATATCTTGGTACTCCCTAGAAAGACTTCACACCACTGTTTGATGCGACCTTACACCAGCACATGACGTCCGGGCATTGTTGGATTTTCGAAAAGATCCATGTATTTTGAACATTAGTCATCTTCTTGGTTTGGAATAGCAGTGTTCCCAATGAATGTAGATTCGTCAAGAGAATGGACCTAGTTCCACAGAAAAATCGTGAATAAAATCTTATGAGCTCTTCTTCAAGAAGTCGCTGCTAATCCCTTTGCAGGTGAAATAAAAGAGAAAATATAGATGTTACCTTTAACGAAATAGTAGTAGAATCCAGTGGCTATGATGAGAAAACAGGATAGTAGTTTCGCCGCAGTCGCGACAATTTGAAATCGCGCGGCGAATTTGCTTAGACTGAAGAAATTTATCCATGTAACGATCACTGAAACAGAAACAAATAGAACCAGTCGGTAACTCACATCCATTGAGCTCTGTTATTTTCTTTTCTCAATCGTTTAAGCATTTTTCTCACAAAGATGAATTCATTTCCGTGAAGTTTCTCACTAAGGACGGTGGAATGTAGTGAAGTGGTGTAGCACATTAACTACTTCGTCCAATCTGCTTGAGACTACGCATAATTTTTCACATTGCGTTATGTGTGCATTGAATCCAATGCATGCTGTTCGTGGTTCCCATGAGAAAACGCTAAGTATGATTTTGATGAGCAACAGTCTCTGCGTTATCCAGTCAATACAAAAGACAAGATATCGGAGTGGAAACCGTGTATTTATGCTATAATTTTTTTCCTCTATTCTCCAAATTTCTGTGGTAGAATGAACAAACTCGTCCGAAAAACTTTCTATTATGAAGCCAGAAACGTATCTTTTTCGGACTAGGCTCATCGTAACATTTTGGGCCAAAAAATTACCTATTTAATAAAAAAAAGTATGGTAAAGAACCCTTTGTACCGCAAAACAAACGACCGATAACAAGCAAATGTGCACCAAAATCCGCCTCGCGCATTGGAACCAATACTTACGATGACTACTATACAAGAATTTCGACGAACGGCTCGAATAGAACTAGGAATACAACACAACTAGATAATTAAAAAAGAAAGCAGACGTAAGAATGTCATTTCTGCTAGTTTTCCAGTATTTTTTTAAAATTTACTACCATATGCGCACGTTAGAAGCGCATGTAGCGTAGTGGTTAGAGGTGCTTTGCAATGTACAAGTGCCCGATCGGAAATCAGTGAGTAATGAAGGTCATGCCAAATTAGAACTGGAAATGAAACACTCTTTTTATTTTCAGTTCCTCTTCTCTTTCATACAAAACATGTTTGATTATGACCATTGAAATTGTTCAGGACGCTGGTGATAGTTGAACCCTCGAAAAAATGAAGACAAAAACAAAAAGAAAATATGAAATGAACTCACTGAGAAGACTGAAACCGAATAACTTCTGAGCCAATGGAGCCCATTCTTCGTCGATTTCGTATACCTTAAGTAGCAAAAGTTAAGCACGAGAAGAAAATATCAATATCTACACCGCGGAATGATATAAATTTTATTTTTTAATCCTAAGAAAGCTGTTAAAATTTTCAGTAAACATGCTCAGCTTGAATGCGATGAAACTGAACTCGGAGGACAAGAACACCTGTTTCAGTCCTTCGATCAGGTACTGCCCAAAAGTCTCGGCTATGATGGCTATTGTGGCCGGATACGTCAACAGCACTGAGACGAACATAAAAGAGAACGCGATCGAATACCTGGAACGACTCGATAAAGTCAAAGTTGTTCTGAAAATGTTCACTTAATAACAAGTATTCACTTCCAGCTGAATATATCTAATATTTAGAGATATATTACTATAGATTACTGGACTACCGTAGCTAGATAAGATTTGCTCCCTTTAAACTTGTCCTCGTATATTTTTCATACTGACCATCATTTAGCTTCTGCATTAATAATCAATATCTTCTTGCATTGTTAAGCTTACGCGATGTTGATGAAGATGTTTATTATTTCACCGGTCTTCGCCAATCTCTTATTTCCATAGCTCTTTTTGTTAGGAAAAATCGTTGAACTAAATTTCGATTATGCAATAAACATTTCTGCAAAGGCTGACAGAGTTGTACAAATCTATAGTGCAAAAACATAGACATTATACTTCCACGTGATTTCTGTGCGGTTGGTCTCTACGTGACATACTTAGTGGAAACCTCATAGAAAGCGGCTCTGAAGAAGGCGAAATTCGCCGAAACGTCAGCTTAATCGTGAACAAAGAATAGTAACACCTCGCGTTTGCTCAACATAAATACGAAGAAAATCTCTATAGTGCAAAGTTTAGCGAAGGCGGTATTGTTCTACATGCATGAGTTCACTTATGATTCCTATTTGACAAAGTTCACCACTCTTCTCTTGAAGGGCAAACAAGAGGTTGTTACTTTACTCTCTCTATTCACGAAAGACGATGTATTGCCGCACTTCGTCTGCTTCAGATTCTGGAGAGGTGAAGCTGACTGCATTCTAGTCGGTCAAATACCTTTTTTTCACCTCAGCAGAGAAATGATGAAAAAAGTTCAATCGCATTGGAACAGCTTCTTCATATATTCACCGTTTCTGATGAGTTTTGCACTGAGTTTTCCACGTGGAGACTAACGGCACAGTGTTCACATGAATGGGTACTATGGCTCTTCCACGTTAAAATACCAGTTTAAGACATTGTGTGAGATTATGCGTAATCACGAAGCACTTTTCTTTGCGTTTCATTCTTGGATTCTTCGAATTTATCCGGAATGCTTCGAGTGTTTGGCGTGCTGGTGTTTTCGTCTCCTGTGCGAGGATGGTAACTTCTGATTCGAAATTTTCCCCGTTACGTCTCTGTGTCCCAATTGCGCTTGGTGGAGTATCTGGTTTTACTCTTAGTTTACCAATTAGATGTACCTTTATACGGAGTTAGAGTAGTCAACTCGTTACACCAACGTATTCGTCGGCACATGGTTTACAAGAGATTAGGTAGACCGCACCCGAACTCATGCAATCACCGTCTCTACCGTTAGGGCATATGATGAAATTTTGGGTTGCGCGTAGAAGATCAGACTGGAGGTTACAAACAAGATGGCGTCTGAAACTGTTCGCTGGTATTCAAATCACTACTTCTTATTCCTCTAAACCAACCTTTCATAAGCAACGTTTTATAGCTGTATCTGTTCTATTGGAAAAGAAGGACAGGATAAACGAGACCTTATTTTCGCTAGAATTGAACGCGGTTCCTCTTCTAAACCTATTCCGAAGCGCTATAGCTTCGTAGCCATTCGAAATAGCTGTCTGCGGCGAAGATTTCAGAGATTCTTCCTTCTGCTCTCTCGCTGGGCACACTTACTGGCGCCTGCTCCAAATATGTTTCTCACAAACGTTCTTTTTGTGTGTGAACAATGAGAAGAGAGGTAATGAACCAGTACGTTATTATTAGTTGGCTTTGGGCATTATTTGGTTGAGTAGCATTTTTCGGGTAGACTAAGTTGAACGTTCAGAAATGGCCTATCCGGAAATGGCTACGTCACCAAATTGTATGGAAAACCAAGTAAGAATAACGTACTGGTTAACTACTTCCCCTCCCAGCCTTCACGGATTTGCTTTGTGACCTATAGATCATGGCGTTATAGCATTCCTAGGTCTTCAGCGGAGCAAGTGTCAAAAATTGTGCATGGGAGACTTGTTCGCTGTTTCACGGCTAGGATTCGTCCAGAATGACAGTGATTCTTTGCTGGCACCTATTTCTGTGGTTAATCAGCCAACCTATCGAGCATGATATAATAGAACGATACAAGCTGAAGATGATTTGGTCCACGAAATCCATGAATTGCTCGGTAATGATATGAGCTTTGTATTACCAGCTGGATTGTTCAACGTGGCGTAAAACATCAACGAGTAAGTGACTTCGTTAAATGGGACTATCTTATCATTTTATTTTTCTGATTCACTGGAGTACCAGCAAGGTTTGTTAGCCATGTTATCCACATTAAACTGTCGAAAACTAGTACTAAATAGGTGTCATTCCTATACGAAACCACTTCTCTTAATTTCTGATCTCCGTGGCAGTACATGGTCATATAACGAGTAACGGGCGGGGCGTGTAGAGCTGTGGTCAGATGCACCCTACAATACACACGTAATCGATCCCGTGCTCCATGTTCAGTAATCCTTTCGCGCAACCGAGGTCGGGAAATTGCTACCAAACTCGTCTGGGAAGGCAGAAGCACTGACTGCATACATCGGTAGAGCACCGCAAGTCACTGTATAGGGCAGATATGCATCCAATTGCCTCCAACGATGCTTAGTGAATGGAATCGAATGGATGGCTCATCTCTCAGGGATTGATCATTACCAAAAGTTTTATCCTTTATCGTTTATAATGAGTTATTGCGTTCGTGGGTATCAAAAGATTCCACGTGGTTTATAAATCAAGAAGTTTGTCCTAAACCATTCCCGTTCTTTGTTTTGAAGGCAGCTGGAGGTAGATATCGCACAATTATCTCAAGACTCAAAGAAAAGGCTATATTTCGTACAAGCATCAATAAACTGGAAATTGTGCTCTTCTCTCGCCCTTGTTTGAAAAGAATAAGCGTTGATGTGTCCAAGTATTTAATTTATATTGGTGCTGAGATATTTGCAAAACTTTGCAAGGCAGGTGTCTGCGGTGGGGATCGAGCACACTGGGTGGCTATCCCGCTCACCCTACACCATTCAACTCCTTCGTTTCACTGCTTGTTAAAAAAAAACTAGACCTGAAAGACAGGCGAAACGAAGGAACCATATAGTGTGGTAGAGAACGCGTCAGCCTCGGGAAGTGTAATAGCGCGTCCGATCCCCCCATAGACACCTGCGCTTCAGTTTTGCAAATATCTCAGCATCATTATGGTTATATGTCACGTAATACGCTGCCGTGAAAAATCATATTAGGCAGCAAAGAAAAAGTTAATACTATTTAATTTACGGTAAGCTTTGTAAGAGTTCATTACAAAAGGAGTGAACTTCTTCGTTCTAGAATGATGTAAGCTGATAGCAACTCATGAACAATAAGCACCACCATTCTGTTTGCACTTAATAGTTTTCTAAATTTCTCGCATACAAAGTCATAGTGTAACCTAATGTTCTAGTGGCAATCAATACCCATACTTTGCCCTGCGGCAAGTTCATTGACTATTCCTCTTCAGGTGTCGAGCTTTTTTTTACATCGGAATTTTAAGGAATTGTGAAGAGAATGAGAAAGAAAAAGAAAACTTATTCCTTGGTAGACCTTGCTCTCAAGACGAAGCAATACAAAATCATTTTCAAAACGGCGGAAAAACAAGGTGAAGCTCACCATTTCACATAACAAATGTAGGCAAAATCGCAACCGGCTTCTCTTATCGAAGTTCCTAGCTCGATGTAGACCAGTGCACCTGCAAGAGCAACCGATCGCGTTTGGTGGATAGATTCGAACTGTTTTCAATTAGAAACCATTTACTTGATGAGAACTCCCTAACCGAACATTTTTTTCAAATGCAAGCTGAAAGGAGATAGGTCGAAACCAATAAAAGCATTGCTTACCGAGTATGGCGATGAAGGCGCATGCTACCCATACGATAAGTGACAACCCGACGCTGTCCGTACACCTAAAATTTGCCTAAAAAATTGGTTGCGCTTTCGAAGTTACTGTACACATACCTGCCCAAAAATTCAGCCAGTAACTGTTTAAATTAAGATTGTGGAGATTATATGCTTTAAAAAGTTATTCTGAGAAATGGTTAAGAATTCGGGGAAGTATGTTGGTTCTATTGGGCAGTGGTTACAACGCAGTGGTTAGAAGTGACCAGCAATACACACGTGGTCGCCGTTTCGATGGCACGTTCGGGACCCAGCAAACATTTCATCTTTCCGGTTACGTGAATTGGTAGCAGATTTGTTTGGGAGGGTAGTAGCACTGATTCGATACAGCGGTATGCCACTGCGTGTCAATGTATAGGCCAGTTACGCATTCAATCACCTCTAACAATGATTGATGAAGCCGCACCCTTCAGGGACTGATCGACCCCGCAAGCTTAACCTTTTGTGCGTTAATATTCTACTTCTCTATCTTATGTATTCAAGTCTTCTCTTTTTGCTGCGTACATTTAAGCTTTAATTTTCGACGGAATTGGCCTCATGTCGTTAATGCAGTGACTTCAGGGCACATCTGCTGCAGTGACCAGTCATCATTCCAAGACTCGTCATGCTAGCCCACCCAGGGAATGGTAATACCTCCAATGAGTTCCAGTCTCTGAAGCAGAATGGAATCAGAAGGAATCGATGGAAGAAACAATGAGCACCGACGAAAAATTTTTCTAGATTGATCAGTGCTTTATTTAACAGGAGGGTCTCATTGACTTTAAAAGTAGTGATGAAACTGAAACGGTGACGAAGCAGAGATGGAGCTTCAAACATTGTTTGAACAATAATCCCTATAGACGGCAAGTACTCTCCAGTGTTTGTTGAATTTTTTAAACGACGCCACATAACATGTTGTGGGAACTAAGCACTTATTTCATTCGAGTCTTTTTCTCAGATCTATGTTCTGCAAAGGCATTCAGATTTTGAGTATGGATGACTGCTACTTAAGCTTTTCCCACTTCTTCATGAATATGGTTGTAGGCTGGTTGAGCTCACTCTTAGTATACTTGGATTGAAAATAGCTTTTGCAAAACTATTCTGGTACAAATTTCTTGACCAGGACGGAGAGGCTTGGTTGACTGGTGCGGCTCCAAGGTGCTTCATCTCAACCACTACTCTACCTGCTCACTGTTCCGCTGATTAGAGAGTGAAAATCAACGCTAAAATCGAAAATACTTCGATGATATTTTTAAAGAGCTGTGACGTTAGACAATTAGAACGATATCGAGCGTAAAAGCAGGACAAGCTAAGAGATTTTGCTCTTCCTGCGCCCAAAGTCCATACGATTTCGCGCCGATTCAAAGCACATTTCTCCAAGGTAACTAATACCCCATACAGCGAAGTTGGTGGTTAGCGCCAATGCAAACTGAGCAGTTCATGAAGTAAAGTGTTAAACCCTGCCTATACTTTGATAAATAAACTTCAAATGAAAGACTATGTTCTTTGCACGTCTATTAAAATACGATGCCTTCAACATAATGAACGATGCTCGTTTATCCACGATTGTGACAGTTTTTTTTTGAGAACTAATGCACTTTGGGAGATGATAACTAGAGACTAGAGAAACTTGCAAGAAAGCCATTATTGTACTGCTCTCTCTTTCCATATATATATATATATATATATATATATATGTATATATATATATACATATATATATATCCCCCAACGGTTTACCGCCCCATTGTGGTTAAGAGGTGCTTCTGGGTGTCGGGCTGCGATGTACATCGGGGAGATTTATCGCCCTGGCAGTGTCTCCCAACATAAGTAGGAGACCGGCGTTTCCATCAGAAAGCCCAGCTAAGGGCAAACCATTACAAGGACCTACCACCGTCCTGGTATCAAACTAGTCGCATAGTGGAAAATCACTCTCTGATCCACAAGGGCTTCGACTGCCTACAGTGGTGACGTCCTGAGACAGACTTTGGCCAGGCTATCCTCGTGACGCCAGGGAACCACAATGGATAAACCAGCAAATCTCCGGAGAATGGAAATTATTATGGCACCCACTCACCTTGTGAAGACGGGTTATTCAGGCATCCAAGTATTAAGTACAGCATCGAATGCGATTCGCTTTAATAATTTTACAAAACCAAATTCCTGAAAGACCTGAGAATCGATGCGGGTGTAATGAATATTCCAGATCCGATGATGTTGCCAATAACATAGGACGTTGCACCGAGAAAACCCAATTTATGACTGTCATCCATCACTGAAATTATAGAATTCGATCCGGATTCGATAGATATAAGATTGTTGTCCCGAGTGGCCAATGGTGAAACAGAGAAGATAAAGACATTCGAGTCGTTGGTCCATAAATGGTCAATGCAGTAAGTTATAGGTTTTTCAGGCCTACAAAATGAAAGATAACAGCATACAATATGAAAGTGATTAAGGAGATCCAACATTCGTATAAAAATAGAACAGAAAGAAATTGTCAAATTGCTATGACATAAATTTCGTTTATTTACTAGCACTGAAGAGTAAATCTAGGAAAGAAAAAGGATGAACAGTAGTTAAGCTCATAAATAGAACCCTAAATCTGAAACATTAGACCGGACTTCTTACTCCAACTAGAATATGCACGATTCGGTGCGCAATGTTAGGCAACATTGCGTGGGCGAATTGATTGAACAGGCGTGGTAATCAATTTGATACTGATGTATTTTAAGGTTCATTAGTCCAATGGCCATTTAACGAGCACATCACGATTTTTACACGAATAAAATTTTACAGTAACCATTTTAAAGTCTCGTAGAACTTTTCGCATCCTCACGAAGATGCTCTGAATTGGCGAAAGCAATTCTAGCAAGGAAAACAACTAATACTCTCGATTACTAGGAAATAGTCGTCGTCACTGAGAATGAGCAAAAACGCTTGAGAACCATTAGCGAATTGAGTAATATCTCTCACATCGCGAGTTCGAAACAAATGAAAAGCTCGAGAGGCGTGTGAAGAAGGCAGATTGTCGTCGGAGAAGACTTCTACTTGTGGAAAAAAAAATCGCATCAAAGGACAGGAATATAGCGCTGCAATCGCTGTGGTCCGCGATGCGAATGAAGATATAAGTAAACCACTCGCCTACTTATAGCAACACGGCTCTGAAAAAGTAGAAATCGCCGAAACACCAGTCATCGACCAACGACACCAACAGCAACGACGACAACAACGACAACGAAGACCTATAGCAACCACTCGTCAAGTCAAAAAGATCGGTTTATAAGACCATATAAATAAAAAAGTACACCACTATTTGAGATGTTTATGAGGATTTATAAATGTGGGGATATACAGTCAAGATCTTTTACCATGGAGTTTTTGCTGTTTCAAAAATTCATAAAAGAAAAACGTGCAAAACGCTAAGGTACAAAGCAAAGAAATGACATAGAATAGGAAGGAGGGCAGTTGAGAGCGAAAGCGTGTGCTGAAAGCGATAAAAATGAAATAAACACAATGTGAAGTGAAATCGGCGAACAAACGTACTGCGATTTGAATTAAAGGAAAAATGACAGGGTTTAATCGCAGATAAAGGAGCGTTGTTCCTCCATGGAAATATTTATTCTAGAAATATAACTTCAATGGTGCTAAGATATTTGTAATAGTTCCCAGGATCGACTTTCTCTTAACCTCGGCATTGGAATATGAATGCGTCGTTTCCTTGTTCAGCAATCGCGAGGTTTTTAAACAGCACACATTTACTTCCATAGAAAAACACAATACAATACAACGCTAGCTGACGTTTCGGCAGTATCGCCCTCATCAGAGCCTGGAATGGTATACTGATATACAATCTACTAGGCCAAACGCTTCAATAACACTTACAAGAAGACGAAAGACTCTTTGGTAATTACATGATCAACAGCTTCTCGAAAAACCCACCGCTTTTTTCGTGACTTCCAGTAAAGAAGTTTAGAACAGTTGATTATAGTCGCATATGGTTGAGACTGCACCATCAAACATCAAAAATCGATGCGAACGTACGAGATCAGGTCGCGTATGACCTCCGGGCACTCATCCCTGCTATTCATTGTAGGGTTTTTGGCATTTATCCAAAAAGCCTCAAGAAGTTTTCGCGCTGGTGTTTTGGACTCCTGTGCAAGGATATTGACTTTTACTTCAAAATCGTCTCCGCTATGCTTTTGTATACTATGCGTGCCTAGTGGGGTGCTTCGTCTTAGTTTTCGTTTGCCATCTAGGTGTTCTTTTATACGGATACACAAAGGTCTGCCCGTTTCGCCATTATATTCATCTCCGCAATTGTTACACGAGATCAGGTATATCGTACCTGAACTCATGCAATCACCGTCCCTGCCGTAAGGGCAAATTACGCAATTTGTTGTTTCACACAGACGGTCATACAGGCGGTTGCGAACTAATTGGCGACGTAGAGTAGTCGGTGGTATTTCGACTATCGCTACCGATTCCTCTAGACCTGCCCTTCTTAAGCATCGTTTTATAGCTGCGCTTACTTCATCGCTTATAAAAGGCAACATAAACGGGATTTTGTTTTGGCCAAGTGTTTCGCGTGGGCGCGTNTCCCTGCTATTCATTGTAGGGTTTTTGGCATTTATCCAAAAAGCCTCAAGAAGTTTTCGCGCTGGTGTTTTGGACTCCTGTGCAAGGATATTGACTTTTACTTCAAAATCGTCTCCGCTATGCTTTTGTATACTATGCGTGCCTAGTGGGGTGCTTCGTCTTAGTTTTCGTTTGCCATCTAGGTGTTCTTTTATACGGATACACAAAGGTCTGCCCGTTTCGCCATTATATTCATCTCCGCAATTGTTACACGAGATCAGGTATATCGTACCTGAACTCATGCAATCACCGTCCCTGCCGTAAGGGCAAATTACGCAATTTGTTGTTTCACACAGACGGTCATACAGGCGGTTGCGAACTAATTGGCGACGTAGAGTAGTCGGTGGTATTTCGACTATCGCTACCGATTCCTCTAGACCTGCCCTTCTTAAGCATCGTTTTATAGCTGCGCTTACTTCATCGCTTATAAAAGGCAACATAAACGGGATTTTGTTTTGGCCAAGTGTTTCGCGTGGGCGCGTCGTTCTCCTTGTAAACTTATCTCGTGGGGTTACTATCGTAGCCATAGGAGATGGCTATTTGCGAGCCAAGTACACAATTCTTCCTTTAGTTCCCTGGTAGTGCACACAGAAGTGGCTGTTCGAAACATGTTTCTCACAATCGCCCTCTTAGTGTGTGAAGGGTGGGAAGAAAGGAAATGAACAAGAATGTTCTTGTTACTTGGCATTCGATACCACTTTGTCAGGTAACCGCTACTTGATAGGTTTTTTTAAAGATATTTGCAAAACTCCGGACCGCAGGTGTCTGCGGTGAGGAACAAACGCGCTATTACCCTTTCCTGGGCCTAACGCGTTCACCACCACACCATGCGGGTCCTTCGTTTCGCCTGTCTCTCAGCTAGTTCTAGCGATTGATGCCATCAGCTATCACCAGTCAGCGGGAATGATCTGGGGAGCCCAAATTGGCAATGAACCCAGTAAAGCTGAGGCTGTAGTCATAATCACAATTTTAACTTATTATTTACTGCCTATTCTTTTTAACGGCAGATTATGTTGCGAAATATAACATCTATAATGCTGAGATATTTGCAAAACTAAGAGATAGGCGAAACGAAGGACCCGCATAGTGTGGTGGTGAACGCGTTAGTCTACGGAAAGGCTAATAACGCGTGCATTCCCCACCGCAGACACCTGCGGTCCGGAGTTTTGCAAATAATTCAACAACGTTTTGGTTGTATTTGGCCTAATACCCTGACGTTAAAATTGCAGTAGGCCGGAAAATAAAAAGTAAAAGACTGAAATTAGAAGTGTTGAAAAAATATTTAACAACTAGCATAGCGTTCAGGCCTAGGTGGCTGCGGATTTCAAAAATAACAGTTCTTAGTTGACGAATTTTTGCTATGATACGATCAAAGTGAAGTGGAACGGTTTTTTCCCCTCTTTTTGTTCAATCTTTTTTTTTTTCGCAAAGAAATACCATAGAGTTGCACCGAAATATCCTGAACTCCATACCATACATACTCAGTAGTCATAACGAGCATGAATCCGCGAATAAAAGATGGAAATCGATTAGAAGATCGTGGTCGATCCGCCAATCGTTAAAATACATAGAGTAGCATTAGATGAGAAACGAATAATACGGACAACACGGGTAGGTAATTTACGAAAGGGGAAAAATGGCGGCATGGAATAAATGCAATCACAGCTACACTACAAAAGTTCAAGTTAATTAGTTTCTAAGTGTTGAAATGAATAGTCATGTTATATTGCTTATGTGTTCGAAAATTAATGAAAAGATTCTTGACGACGTGCCGTAAGAATTTCTTCAAACATAGTTGTTTCGCTGTTCGGAGAAATCGAAAGACCCAACAAATCAACAACATGTGACTTCGTCACTGCCATCAATTGGTCCGTATCCGCCCTTCCTTCTCAAGGAATTTTAACACTTCTAATAAAATTAACACAGGATAAAAGGATAAAGCTCGATTGGTCCATGAGGGATGCGCCTTGTGAAGGACATCACTGAGCATCGTTAGAGGTGTCTGAATGCATAACTGGTCTTTACAGTGACCCGCGGTGGCCTGCCGATGTATGCATTCCGTGCTGCTACCTTCCCAGACAAGTCTGGCACCAACTTACCGATCCCAGAGTGATTGAAAGCTTTGTAACCTGGGGTGCGATGTTGATCTCATGAGTATTGCAGGACGCCTCTAACGACCGGGCTACACGCGGCCTTCAAATTAACAAAGTTTGTAAAAATTTCAGAAGCTGTAATATCCATGGTTAGGGATAATTTTCACCAACTAATGTCGATTTTTTGCTCCTTCACCATACCTACCTGGAATCGCTGATGGGGCAAGTATTAAAGTTTGCTCAAACCGCGTGATGCGGACGTCGCAATGGTAATGATGTGGTTCAATAAGCGTAAGACTCTGGTTTGATCTCGCCTCGGCCCAGGGAAACCTCCTATCCCTCCGAGATTAGAAAAATGGTACCAGATTTGGCTGAGAAGTATTTCGCCTGATGGATCAAAGATGGTGATTATTGATTTATGGTGAGGACCTGGGAAAACTCTAGCACACCTATTTCAGAATACCACTAGAAGTCAATTTTATCAGCATTCAACTACATTCATAAAGAACAGCGAGATCTTCAAGCAGCGAAGGAACTCACGC